TAGTTTTGTATGTTGTAAGAAATTCGCATCACTTACCAAATATCCATCTTTAGGGGGTTGTAAATACTTCATTAGCATTATAGATGATTACTCTATGAGGGTGTAGATTTATTTCTTGAAATGTAAAGGAGAAGCCTTTAGCAAATTCAGGGAGTGGAAAGTTATGATTGAGAATGTTGGGGAGAGAGTTGGAGATTTAACTCACATTATAGTGTGTGGTTACCCATTTTAAGAGCAGTGGAATATTTACCAAGTAGATTAAACATTTTCGATTTGAACACATCAAACACAAGTGCGGAAAATAAAGAACACAACCACATACATGGTTCGGCTAAATCCATTTTTAGCCTACATCCATGGGACCTTGTCCAAATCGAAGCAATCCACTAAGTTAAAAACACATTACAAGATATAGTTTAAAGTTTATCTAAGTTACGGTAAAAAGAAATCCTTGATCAACTTTACACTTAGCACCACACTCTAAATCCTTAACGTGTAGCAACTCCTTAGACCTTCTTTATGCTGGAAACACACACGTGAATAGCTTGTAAACCTCCAAGCTTCAAGCATCGACGCCACGCACTAGCATCAGCAAAGGAACCACGTTCCAAGAGTCATCAAGACAGTGTTTGATATGGTGAGATTTTGGCACAAATATGGAAATGAACCTTGAACCTTAAAAGAAGAAATACTTTAAGAAATTTTAGAGTAAAATGAAACAATGTATCAAAAGGTTCTAATTCATATACACTAGAAAGAGGTGTTATATAATGAAGGATTTCTCACTCAACAATATAGTGCTAGGTCAGCCAACAAGGGACTTAGCAATATAGTGCTAGGTCAGCCAACAAGGGACTAACGCATGTTTGTCCAAATAAGAAAAGTTTCATTCTTTTGGTTTGGACCACAAAGCAAATAGGGAAAAGTGTTTTAGTCCCTAGGACCACTTAAGGATGTTATGACACATGTAAAAGGTCCTAAAAAGTGAGAGACAAAGATAAACAATATCTTTTTCACTTTATCAGACATGCAACTCATGCTTGGCTGTAAATATTTGAATCAAGAGAAAAAGCACAAACTGTTGTGCACATACACTCTAAACGAAACAAGCCAAGACTCAAGTCTGGCAATTAATGTGCACGTAGAACATATGTGCACACATACAATTTATAAGTTTGACAAATATGATTTTCCACAGAGAATTAGATAGGGAAAAAAATTAGGAAGTTAAGGGCTGATAATGGGTTAGAATTCATCAATGAGGAGTTTGATAAACTGTGTAAGGATAGTGGAATCCTAAGGTATAGGACACTCCTCAACAAAATGGGTTGGCTGAAAGGATAAATATAACTATTTTGGAAAAGGTTAGGAGCCTGTAGTCTTGTGCCAAATTCCCAGCCAAATTCTAGGCAGAATCTACTCATACAATAATGTTTTTAATCAATAGAATTCATTTCTCAGCTATTGAATTCAAAACACCTATTTAGAGATGGACTGGATATCCAACTGATTATAGCAGTTTGAGGGTCTTTGGCTATACTATCTTTGTGCATGAAAAGTCTGATAAGTTGCATCTTAGAGCCATTAGGTGTATTTTCATAGGATATCCTAATGGGATAAAAAGGTATAAGTGTTGGGATGTTGCTAGGAAATGATGTATAGTTAGTAGAGATGTCAAGTTCAATGAAGAATAGTTGGGTGGTCTGAGTGAAAAGACTGATAAGATGAATACTGAAGTCGTTAGGTTTGAAATGGATGATTAAGCTTTTTTTGATAATGTTGGTGATCTGCAGTCAAATTATCAGCAAGAAGATTTGGAATCTCAAGATGAGGAATCTGATTTATGAGAGAATGAAGATGATCTAGCTCATGATGAAGGAACTAAACTTCAAAATTACCAGTTAGCTAGAGATAGGCAAAAGAAGAGATTTTCACAGGCTGACATGGTTGCTTTTGCCCTTCAAGTTGCTGAAGAAATAGAAGATAAACCTAAGACTATTAGAGAAACCATGGAAAGTAGAGACTCTAAGCAGTGGAGGTTAGCTATGCAAGAGAAGTATGAATCCTTGATGAAAAACAAGACTTGAGTTCTTATTAATAAACGTAAGGGTAGTAGAGTTGTCAAGTGTAAAGGGGTATTCAAAAGAAAAGAGGGAATTCCAGGGGTAGAGGCACCTAGGTTTAAAGCTAGGTTAGTTGCAAAAGCCTTTACACAGGTTGGGGGATAGATTACACTAAATTTTTTTCACCTGTGGTAAGACATACTACCATTAGGGTTTAGTTATCTTTGGTAGCCCAATTTGAACTTGAATTAGAGCAACTTGATGTCAAAACAGCCTACTTGAATGGTGGTTTAGAAGAAAGAATTTTAATGGAACAACCTGAAATTTTTGAAAAAGGTTCAAGAAACCAAGTATACTATTAAAGAAATCTTTGTATGGATTGAAATAGTCACCTAGGCAATGGTATAGAAAGTTTGATAGTTGTATGATCAGTTTTGGTTTCAGGAGAAGTAATTTTGATAGCTGCCTTTATTTCAAATGTTTATATGGTAATTGTTACCTTTATTTAGCACTTTATGTTGATGATATGTTGTTGGCTTGTAAAGATGCTCCTGAAATTACTAGATTTAAGGTTGAAATGAATAAATAGTTTGAAATGAAAGATTTGGGGTAGGCTAAGAAAATTCTAGGAATGAATATTGAGAGAAATAGGGAAAAAGGGAGAATAATGCTATCTCAAAAGGAGTATGCTAAAAATGGTATTAGAAGATTTAATATGCTTGATTGTAGACCTGTCAAAACACTAACGAGACAACATATTAAACTAAGTTTGAATTAGTATCCTAGTTCAAAAAATGAGAAAAGGGAAATAGTTAATATCCCTTATGCAAATGCAATAGGAAGCCTAATGTACTTAATGGTCTGTACAAGACCTACTCTAACTTTTGCAGTAAGCTATGTGAGCAGGTTTATGAGTAATCCATGAAAAATTCACCGGGAAGCAGGGAAATGGATTCTAAGGTATGTTAGGGAACAATGTCAACTGGAATTGTGTATAGTAAGGGGAAAAACTTACAGGATTTTATTATGGGGTATGTTGATGCTGATTATGCTGGAAACCCTAATAATAGGAAGTCAATGACTGGTTTTGTGTTTTCTTTATGGAATAATCTGGTTTGTTGGAAAGCAAATTTGCAAGCTATTATGACTTTATCGACTATAGAAGCTAAGTATGTGACAATCACAAAAGCTGCAAATGAAGCAATTTGGCTTAGGGGAATGCTCAATGAACTGGGATTCAATCAAACACAAGTTCCAATCAAAAGCGATAGCCAAAGTGCTATTTTCTTGTGCAAAAATCAAGTTTTTAATGAGAGATCGAAGCACATTGATGTGAGGCTACACTTTATCAGAGACATGATTGAAGAAAAAGTTATCAAGGTGAAGAAAATTCTTGGGAAGGAAAATCCAGCAGACATGTTTACCAAAGTAGTCACTTTGGATAAACTAAGGCTCTTCAGGGGCCTGCTCTATATTGAGTAAAATGAAGAAATGTTCCAGGGCAGTAGGGAATAAGGAAATCAGATGCCAAGGTAGAGATTTGTGTTGATGTGGCACCTGATTTGTGCCCATGTGGAGTCAACTCTTAATATGTGTGGTCAGAGACAATTTAAAGAATGGGAGGGACATTATTGGGATTTCCCAATTGGGATTTCCCAATTGGGATTTTGTTAGGCGACCTAACTTGGCTTCAGGTTGACACTCTTCTATTCTGTTCTTGATTATTCTCTCTTTGTTACAGAGAGAGAAAGGTTGTTGCAAAATGGTTGAGGTGGAGCCTTGAAGATTGCAGGATGAAATCAAACGGGGATGGTGAGCCTAGTTGTTACATTTTTATTCTTTTCTCTTGTGTATAAATTGTCAATTAATTCATTGTATTTGGATGTATGAGAGGTGAGGCACATGGGGTCGATTTGCGTGATTTGCAGAGGGGTTTTCCTTGGGTTCTTCATGTAAAGAAGGAGATATAAACTCCGTAAACATCTTTCTATTATAGTAAATATTCCCTACTGCCTTGAAGAGTAGATGTAGGTAATCAATTGATTACCGAACCACTATAATTTTTTTGTCTTCTGTACTTCCTTTTATGCTCTTATTATTCTTATAACTTGATCGTTGTGAATATTGCTTGATTAGAAACTTAGGGTTTCTTGTTCTATTGTAATTTGAAGAATCTTTAAGTTCAACATATGTCAACAATCATTTTCAATTATCAACAATATGTTTCCACCCTCTAGGGGAAGGAGGAACATACCCACACATAAGTAATTAATCAATGGATTCTCAGGCAATAGTTTATAAGCGTCTAAGTATTCTCTTGCAGCATCTTGATGATGGTTAGCGAAGGTAAAGTGATGCCCAGAAATGATAAGCGATGGTGCACAATCTTCGTATTTGGCTTGCATATATTGAAGAAACTTGGAATGCTTATAGTGGCTTTTCCCCAATCTATGACATTCAAGGAAACCCATCAATAAAGTACTAAAAATATTAGTTTAAAAAATCAGCATGCTCTCAAGTAATATTTGAAGCTTGCAGGTTGTGTCATGTCCATTAAAATAAATGCACCTAAGGTGTTTGCGCTCATCTATACACAACAAGGAAAAAGGTCTTTCTTGACAACTTCTTAACCCTTTTTCAACTGTTAAAGATTTAAGACAATCTTTGACTGTTATAGCAAATCCTTGACTATTATTATCTGTCAAGGATTTTGTAAAAATTAAGTTGTTCAATTTCATTCCTTGATTGTTATTATCTTAATCCTTTACAATTTTTAACTGTCAAGAATTTTGAAAAAAAATGAAATTCATTCCTTGACTGTTATATTCTTACTCCTTCACAGTTAAGAATTAAGTTAAAAAAAACAAAAAAAACCATAAACTCAAATTTGGCTAAGGCTTCCCCGTTCCCACCCTAAAATTTTGCTAAGGCAAATTCTTTCCGCCCAAAACACCAAAGTTCATTGTCAAAACCCATTTTCCCCCAAATTTCGACCAAGTCAAACCTAGGGCAAGAAAAAAACTTCCGCCAAAAACCCAAATCTCCTCCGCTAAATCGCCCAAATCTCTTCCATCACTTGTTTCTTCAGTCCCCGGTAGCAATATGACTGGAAGAGAGATTGACCGGGCTCTACTAGAAGCAGTTATTAATGACCCCAATATTTCTGTTTTTGAACACCACTTTGCGATAGATCTTGCATTTTATTTTGGCAACAGTTTCCAAACTAACTTCACATCGTGTTCTGATGCTTTACCTTTGTCACAATATCAGGTTATACGATTTATTTCAAAGGCGACCTTACTAGCATCAGGTGGGGCTGGGCATATCTATCCGTCGACAACAAACCCTCCGTTATCAAAGTCGGTTTTTCTTTCTTAACTGTCTATGTGTAAGAGAGAATCTGAGAGTATTGGCAATCATTTTTTGCATTGCCCTAATGTTTTTAAGTTATGGTCAACGCTTTTTGGCTCCCCAGTTGAGGTGGGCTGTGTAGTGATTATTATTTTTTGAGTTGTTTCCCTGGAGAAAAATCGAAGAATATTTGAAGACCACAGGAAGGAAAACTTTTCCTTATGGGATAAGTTAGACTTTGGGTTTCTCTTCGGGCTTTTCTACTGAACTTAGAGATATGTCTTTTCTTTATTCATCATAATTAGGAATTAATAATAAATAAAATTTTATGCAGTTTCCTATGAGGGAAAAAAAGAAAGGTTGCTCCGCTACCTAATTTACCATCATATTTCATCTGTTTTTATAGGTGGCCACTGGAGATGGAATGGCTATGGCCCACAGAGCTGAAGCGGTGATTTCCAATATGGAGTAAGTTTACTTTCAAAAATTTTCTTTTAGTTCTCATTATGTCATATATAGTCATATTGTGAAAACCACTGAAGATGGAATGATTTTTCTGTTTATACTTTATAAGGCACATAAATCAGTCTACTGGAGCTTTTGTTTCGTCTGTCCAAGAGTTTTATAAATTGTTGTATCACTATTTTTCTCAGGTCTGTTCAGTTCCACCCAACTGCCTTAGCTGATGAAGGCCTTCCCATCAAACCAACCAAAAGTCGAGAAAATGCATTTCTGATCACTGAAGCCGTCAGGGGAGATGGAGGCATTCCTTACAACTTGGGCATGGAACGGTTCATGCCCCTGTATGATGAAAGAGCTGAGCTTGCTCCTAGAGATGTGGTGGCAAGAGGCATAGATGACCAGCTTAAGCAGCGCAATGAGAAGTTGTTGGGTGTTGCTAGATGAGCTAAATCTTGCTCCACAATCTGTTTTAGAGGCACTGCTTTTAAACCTTATTAATTCTATTACTTGCAGTGTTTTTATCTCTGTTGCTTTTACTTGTTTTTATTAGTTACTTTCTGTGTTACATGTTGATGGTAGTAATTAATTGTATTTTTAATTAGGGTTTGAATGCTATTTTGGATCATCGTGGTGAGGTCTTCATTCCAGAGCTAGGTCTAACTTTTAGGTGTCCACCGTCTTTCAGAGATTTAGCATGTCAAAATCCTTCTTATCAGGGTGGTGGTAGGAAAGGCCTCCCGAGGTCCTTTCTCAATCGGTTCACTAAGGTTTGTTTATCAAAATTGTCATTGCAGCTATAGATTTATACATGTAGAAACTGAATGATTAACCTGGCATTAATGCATGTCATCATTTTTTTTTTTTTTTTTTTTTTTTTTTTTTTTTTTGGGGGTTTGTTTGTTTCAGGTATATGTTGATGAGTTGGTGGAGAGTGACTATCTTTCCATACGTAGTTCACTGTATCCATCTCCCAAGGTCTGTGCTTCCTAAGTTGATTTTATTTAATAAGCGGCTACATGAAGAGACCATGGTATATCACAACTTTGCTCCGGATGGCTCGCCCTGGGAGTATGTGATTAGGTCGTGTCAGATTATACAAGGTTGGCTATGTTTTTCTTTCTTGCATATTGCTATCCTGTTTTCAGTATGTTCTATTATTCAGCATATATTCCTGTTTTAACTTGTAGATATGGTTTTAAACTTAGGTGCACTTGCGAAGATAGACGCCAATTCCTTTCTCAATATACTCTACATTCAAATAACTTTTTTAGTTATTGTTGTTTCAATGATGTCAGAGACCAATGAGGGCAAAAACTATGTATCAAACTTTTCATTACAGAATTGATTACTTTTCATTGTTGTATGCAATATTGTAAAATAGTTACTGTTGTTCAATTTTGTTTATGCAGAGCAACAATAATATATGTACCATTTGATCAATTGTTCAATGTCTTGTTACATATTGTTGAGTGGTAATAATTGTTGGTAGAATAAATATTATGAAGCATTTCATTTGACTATTCCATAATTTAATTCATAATAATAAAGAAATTTAACTAATTTAAAAAAAAAATATTAACAAACGAAATCTTGACAGTGTGAAAACTGTCAACAATTTGGCTAAAATTCTAAAAAAAAATTGAAAAATTCGGCTGAATCTTTGAGAGTGATAACTGTCAAGGATTTAGTCAAAATTCTGTTAAATCTTTAACAATTATCGAATTGTCAAAAGGTCCTTGACAGTTCGAACGCTATCATGGCCCTTTTTTGATAGAGGTTACAATGACAATTCAAAAAGGGTTATTAGTACCCCTTTTTTGTCAGTAATACCTTTCAAGAAAGGTCTTTTTTCTTGTAGTGATAACATCTGAACACTCTAAATGAAAAAATAGCATACTTGGATCACAAGGACAAGTAGACAGAGCCATTGATGTAAGTTGATTAAACTGATAAAATTCAGCAAGCTATTGCAAAACAACATATTACATTATCGTATACCTGGAGGTTACTCCGTAATAGCAGTTCCAGGCAGCAAAACTGTAAGGATGCTGCTGAACAAAGTATCTTGCACAGTCAAATCCATGCTTAGGATCAGTGGCCATATGCCATTTTTGTTGAATCACAGACAAAATGTAGTCTACATTAACAAAGCCCCAAAGGTCCTCCAATCTTTTTCTGCAACGAAGACATAATGGCGAAATAAAATCTAAATAGTTGTTTTAGATGAAGGTGGGACGGTAAAAAAACTAATCTAAGAAATTACAATAAATTTCTTTGACGTCCTTTAAGGAATAGCTAAAATACTGAAAGCCTCACTAAAGACTATAAGATTGGAATCAAAGTCATATGATTCTCCTTCAAAGTTGATATACACATTAGGTTTTTATAGGATTTACAAGGAAAATCAAATGAGGGAAGAAATAATCACAAAGCTAGCCTCTTAAAAATCCTACGGTCATGTACAACTATTAAGTCCCTATAATAATAACATATATTCCAATTAGCAAATACAAATTTTCTACATTTAATCTAATCTAATTATAGACAACAAATCTTTTGTCTTTGATATTTTCCAACACACTTCCTCAAGCTGGTTCGAAAATATCTTTCAAAGCTAGTTCGCTAATTAAAATTTTGAATTGCTTCTTTGACAATCCCTTTGTGAGTATGTTCGCAAATTGTTTACTAGTAGGAATGTAAGCCATTCCATTCTCCACCTTTTCTTTTATAAAGTGCCTATCGAAGTCAACATGCTTCGTTCTATCATGAGCACTAGGTTGTGTGCAATAGAAATAAAAGCCTTTTTGTCATAGTACACCTTCATAGGTAATGGATTAGAGATCTTCAATTCTTCCAATATTCTTTTAATCGACAATACTTCACAAATTCCATAAGCAACAGCCCTAAATTCAGCCCCTACACTACTTCTGGCGACCACATGTAGTATGACCATTATGCCCCTCTACCGTTACATTTAAACTAATGGTGTTTGGTTTTCAGTGAAACTTTGATAGTCTCCAATTCAGTGAGTGGGAAACAGTGATTTCGCTAAACCTAGGGTGAGAAAATGATTTTTGACCTTAATATTAATTAATGAAAATTAATTAATCCAACCCCATTTGCACATTCATCACAATCACAAACTCTTCATCCACCATCAGTAGATTATCGCCATCACAACCATCATTAGATTTTTTTTTTTTTTTTTTTTTTTCCATAGTACCATGACAACATTTTCAACTCAAAACCCCAGTAGCAATAATATGTTTTCAAATACTCATCATAAACCCACAATTAAAACAGTTATAGCAAAAAATAAAAAATAAAAAAAATAAATATTAACATGCAGAACAAAAACAGAAAAAATGTTCAAGGGGTGGAGGAGAAAAAGGGAGCTAACCACGGCCTTGCGGCATAAGCCAAGCCTTGATCTGGCCAACCGTGGCTTGGCAACACAAGGCTTGTCACGATTTGGCCAACCATGGTCTGGCGGCACTAGGTCAGGTTGCGATCTTGCCAACCACGACGCTACTGAGCGTGCCAAGCCACGGTTGGACATGGTAGTATATGATTTTTTATTTTAAATTATTTTATAGATTTGAGTTGTTTTGTTGGGTGATATAAGCATTTTAATGTTTTGAAAGTAAATACTAGGGAAGGAGAGAGTGACCAGATTTTTAATCTTTAATCTTTAATTTTTTACTTTTATGACTTTTTAATATTTTCATTAATTATTAATATTTATGGGTCAGGTACTCAGGTTTGTGTTTTAGGTTCAGGTTTGAGTGGTGGTACGGTATCGTCAGTTAGGCATTATCATTTTACCCCTATTATGTGAAAAACAACAAAACTGACAACCAATAGAGGGATTTGCATAATTTCTGGTACATGAATGGGTTTTCATTTCTTTACCAAACCTCAGGGGGTTTAAAGTTATAATCCCGTACTACTTTTTATATAATCAGTTTATTTTCAAGGTTATATCTACTAGTTTTCAAGAAAAAAGTGTCATATATTTAGTTAACAAAAACCATAACAACCAAATAGATTTTGTCACTTTGGGCATTATTGACTTTTAACATTTACTGTTACAGTATATCGGTAGAAAACAATGCCTAGGGGACGGGGGTGAGGAAAGTGGAAACTTGAGGGGAAGTGGTGGAGAATTTCTGGAACACTGGGTGGGACTTTATAATCGCTGAAACCTCAGGGGAGGTACTTAATACTCCTTCAAATATTTTAATGGCATCCTAATTTTAGGAGTATATTTCAAAAACCCTCCTATATTTACAAAATTATTTAAAATCCTCCTCTTAACATGATGCTGTTTAAATTTCCTCACCATCTAAGAGTACACTTTCCTTTCAAAAACTTTCGTTAGAACATAAAAAACTTGTAACTTTTTAAAAGTAGCAATTTAAAAAGAGGAAATAACTAGGGAGTTCGCAATAATTATTTAAAACAAATTTATTGTGATAGAATGTTCTGAAATTTATAAATAAAGGCTAGATCATTTATAATCAAAACTTAAAGTAATTTTAATTAACACAAAATAAAAATAACGATATTTTTGTATAACTAAGTTTTTTAGTTAAACAATAATTAAAAAAAATATTTTTAAATGATTTATAAAAATAATGAGGAATAAAAAATATTTTTTAAGTCGGTAAGTCATGGAAGGGGTAATTTAGACTTTTAACTTTAAAATTGCTTGGAACCCTAAAATATCATTAATAGTAGGGGTGTTTTTAATACTTTTGAAACGAAGTCGATGAGTTGGATACTAATTGATCTTAAAGGGGTATAAATGAAACTCACAAGATAATAGAATCCATCATTAACCTCTAAAGGGTAGGGGTGTGTAAAAGAACCGATCGGAATCCAAACCGGTGGGCCGTCACAAGATTGGTTCTGGTTCCAAAAATTTGGAACTGGCACTATGCTGTTTTAATTCTGATTCCTGCAGTCAAGAACCAGAGTCGGAACCGAGAACCGAGACTAATATGAAAAACATTAAAGAGTGGGGGTCTTTTGTAATTTTCCATGTCATGTAAAAAATGCATGGTGCGTGTTCCTCACATGCTCCCTTATCTCTCTTACCACTAAGCCTCCCCCTAACCTAATCTTCCCAAATCTCTGATGACAGTATGACAAGCTGTCATATTACATATTATTCATTTTCTCAAGATATAAATACATTTATCTTATTTAATAATATTCAGAATTACATATTTTAATGTATTAATTCACTGAGGATTTTGACTTAAATAAAATTGTGAGATTACAAATTAATCATGTTGATGTCTAAATATTTATTGATTTTTTAAAAAATAAGATTTTTTTTAAAGAAAGACCTGGTATCACATAATGTTTAATAAATAATGTTATATATATATATATATATGATTTGATGGGAAGTTTTTCTCATGTTTTTTCTAACATTTATTTGTAAACACACATTGTAAGGTTACAAAGACGTTAAAAAATTCGAGAAAATGAAGATACAAAAAGAATTATTAAAAATTTCTCAATTTTATTAATAATACTTCCATGTATTCTCAAGATTTCTTAGTTGATGTTAAGAGAAAAAAAAGGCAAATAAAGATTTCTTAGTTGCCAAGTACTCGGAACCGGTTCTGATTCCAAATAATTAGGAACGGAACTGTCGGTTCCGATTCCGATTCCAAATTGAAGGAATTGGCTGGTTCCGATTCCTTCAATTTTGGGCAGGTCAGAGCTACTAAAGTGAGAGGTATTGGATAATTTTTCATACCTTTTGGGTGTGAATAATCTAAGCTGAAACCTAAGGGGAGGTGAAGTAATAGTCTTATTAAATAAACCTAATCCAAATTTTTTTTTTCTGTTTTTTTTTTTTTTTTTTTGCTCTTACTTTTATCTCTCTTTTCTTCTCCTTTGCCCATCTCCTTGGACATTAAAACCCTAGACGTTAAAACAAGAACTTCATGGCGGCTTGTACAGGTGTTTTCTTATAATCTCACTAACAAAGTTATCAAGGCCCTGTTCATTTATGAATTTTAATTATCCTTCTCATTTTCATTGTAATGATACTTGCCAAAAACATGTTCGTTTAGCATTTTTTGCTTATTGTAGCCGTGAGAATTAGAAAAAAGTTAGGAAGGATATAGATTGTGGAAACCTTAATTTTTTTTAAAATTGTTTTTTAAATAAAATATTATTAATTATCTTTTTTATCTATATTTTCTCTTTCTTACTTCCAAAACAAATTAATTATTTCAAATTAAAATATTTAATACAAAATTACAAACGAGAATCAACAATTGACATATTTGAGATAAACTCTTTTAGACGAATAAAAATAAGTGGTATTTTAAAATAGTTTGATGGGTTGTGTAGGTACTAAATTTCATATTTTTCATTTTTTTATTTGTGTTTTCAGACAAACATGTCGAACACTTTTTCATTTTTTTCATTTTTAAGTACTATTTTCAGACAAACATATTGAATCCGTTTTCATTTTTTCCATTTTCTGATCATTTTTAATATTCTAAAAAAATTAAAAACATAAAATTCATAAAAGAACACTGTTGTTTTTATGTTTAGAGTGGTGCTCATATGAAATGTGATTGTGATCCTTTGGAAGGAGATGCTAGTGGTTGGTCATGAGTGAACTCTCAATCGAACTTCGTGACCAGGCATGTAAGAAACTAATCAGAAATAGAGGCAAAAGGTGGCAGGGATGCCAAATTATGCCAAGAGAAAAAGAGAAGAAGAATTTTCTGTATATTTTTAGTATTGTATTCTGTCCAATTTATACAAGTCTACAAGTGTAAGAAATGGTAATAAATCAATATAATTACATGAAATCAGGGATAATAATAAAATGTAATCACTTGAATCATGCCATGAATCAAGCCAAGAATAATGGTAACCTGTAATCAATCCTAGATCATAGTACTTTGTATTTATCACATTCCATCACTCCCCCTCAAGCTTGTGGTTTATAAATGTCATAAACTCCAAGCTTGTGAAGAAGATAAGAGTGTTGTCTACTGTATAGTGGTTTTGTAAAGATATTAGCTAGTTGTTCTGAAGTGCGGATATGGAGTGTCTTGATACACCTTCTTGAATTTTTCCTCTGATGAGGTGACAATCGATCTCAATGTGCTTTGTTATCTCATGGAACACTGGATTTGCTGCAATATTGTTTGCAGCTTTGTTATCATAGTATAAGTGAACATATGTTTTGATATGAACCTCCAAATCTCCTAGTAACCAAAGGATCCAGGTGATCTCACATGTTGTTTTGGCCATTGCTCTGTATTTAGCCTCTGCTGATGAAAGAGACACCGTTGATTGTTTCTTTGTCTTCCAGGAGATTAGTGCACCTCCAAGTTTTATACAAAGCTCGGTGAGAGATTTTCTTATCATGGGACATGTGGCCCAGTCTGAGTCACAATATGCTGTGATATTTAAGTTTCCATCTTGAGGCAAAAGGAATCCTAAACTAGGACATCCTTTCAAGTACTTGAGTACTTTCATTGCTGCATCCATGTGTGATTGTTTTGGTCCATGAATGAATTGATTGAGAATATGGACCGCATAGCTGATATCAAGACATGTCATGGTAAGGTAAATTAGTCGCCCAACAAGTCTTTGATAGTGTGAAGGATCTTGTAGTGGTGGATCTATTTCAGAAGATGACACCCATTAATCATACTCTTAAGTAGCAGGCTTGATATTCTGCTTGACTAGAATAACACTTGGTTTGCATACTACTAAGCCAGAGTCTGATATAAGTTCAAGAACATACTTTCTTTGGCTTAGGGAAATGCCTGTTGGAGATCTGGCAATTTCAATTCCTAGAAAGTATTTTGGCTCTCTAAGATCTTTTATTTGAAAATGCCTATTGAGATGTATTTTCAAATTTTTGATTCCTTCTTCATCATTTCCTGTGATTAAAATATTATCGACATAAATGATGAGTGCAATAAAAGATTCACCTTTGTGCCAGGAGAAAAGGGCATAGTCATGCTTGGATTGTACAAAACCAATATTTGTAAGAGCCTCTGTGAAGTTCTCGTTCCATTGTTGAGATGCCTGTTTTAGACCATATAGAGACTTGCACAGACGACATACTGTGTTCTCCCCTTGTCTGTGAAGTCCAGATGGAAGGTCCATATATATCTCTTCATGTAGATCACCATGAAGAAAAACATTATGAACATCCATTTGGTGTAGAGACAAGTCTTGAGTAGAGGCAATGGATAGAAAGGCCCTCATAGTAACATGTTTGGCAACGGGTGAGAATGTTTCTTGGTAATCAAAACCTTCCCATTGAGTGAAACCCTTTGTGACGAGTCGAGCTTTGTATCGTTCAATGGAACCATCTACACGATATTTGATCTTGTATACCCATTTGCAACCAATGGGTTTTTTGTGATTAGGCAGAGGTACCAGATCCCATGTGTTATTAAGAGCTAGGGCATTCAGTTCATCTGCCATTGCCTTTTGCCATTGAATATGCTGAATAGCTTCTGAATAGCTTGAGGGTTCATGGTCAGCAAAAATCTGATAGATGCAAGCTTTATGTGTGGGAGAAAGATGATCATAATTGACATAATTGGAGGATGGATAGGGTGTACCTGAGGAATTCAGTATGGTTGGGCAAACATAATCAGATGTTCAGATAGGTGGTCGAGTGGAGCGAGTTGATCGCCTTTGAGGATGAACAGGAGGTGGAATAGGAAATTCTGATTGTAGTGTAGAGGTTATGTCATTTTGTGGAGAGATAACTGTTTGTGGAGATGTGGAAGTAAAGTAGTGTTATTGTTGTTGTGGTGTAGATTTTGGTGATGATGGATTGGTGGCAGGGGCAGGGAATAATGTAAACTGGGGACCTGTTGGAACCTCATCTTCAAGAAATAGGTGACTTTGGGAACAAATCCGGAGTGATATCATTTGTAATAAATGGAAAACTATCTTCATGAAAGACAACATCTCGGGATATAAGAAACTTGTCTATTGTGGGATCATAGAGACGATATGCTTTTTGTAACATTGGATATCCCATAAAGATGCACTGAGTGGCTCGTGGGCTGAATTTATCATGAGCCTTAACAATTGCAGAATAACAGAGACATTCAAAAACCCGGAGATGACTATTATTGGGTGCCTTGCCAAACAATACTTCATATGGACTTTTTCCACCAAGGACATGAGTAGGCATTCGATTGATCAGGTATGTGGCAGTGATCACACATTCTCCCCAAAATTTAATTGGAATGTTTGCTTGGTGTTTTAGGGCTCTGGCTACCTCTAATAGATGTTTGTGTTTTCTTTCTACTGCCCTATTTTGTTGGGAAGTATAGGTGCATGAGCTTTCGTGTGGGATGCCAAGGGACAAAAACAGAGAGGAAAACTGATGACTAAAAAATTCTTGACCATTATTAGTTCTTATCCGTTGAACTGATGACTTGAATTGGGTGGTTATCATGGACCTAAAATTACTAACGTGAGTAAGAGTTTGTGTTTTGGACTGCATTAAAAATACCCATGTGCCTCGCGAGTAATCATCAACAATGGTGAGGAAGTACTTAGACCCATCATGGTTTTGAGTGTGATATGGACCCCATATATCGATATGGATAAGAGCAAATGGTTGTGTGGTAGTAAATGTACTATGGGGAAAGGTGATGCAAGATTGCATTGGTAGAGGGCATATTGGGCATTTTGGTTATGGAATGGAAGCACTGTGACCTAGTCTTTGATGGAGAATAAATGAATTTTTATTGATATTTGTATTACACTGAACAATTTTATTTTTTGTAATACAATTGAGAAATTCACTAGAAATACCATTGAGAATCTAGTAATATAGGCCACTAGTTACTCTACCAAAGCCCATTAGTGTCCCAGTCAAAGGGTCCTGAAATTCACATGTATTAAAAAGGAATTTTAGAATATAGTCATTATCAGTGCAAATTTTGGATATGGAAATGAGGTTGAATTGGAAATCTGGAACAAACAAGACATTCTTAAGGATTAGGCATTTACTTAGTTGAATAGTCCCTATATGTGTGGCTGGTGCTATACTCCCGTTCGGCATGCGAACGGAGATAGATGATGTGTTTGATTTGTGGGTGAAAAATTTTGGGTTACAAATTATTTGATCAGTAGCCTCTAAATCAATAATCCAAATATCATATTTAATTGAATTTAAACAATAAGATGTACCTGCGTAGGAAGCTGAGGGCATTTGTTGAATTTGATTCATCATTTGAAGTAGGTGGGTGTATTGTTCCTTGCTGATCATGGGTGCAGAAATTTGATTTCCAATAGGAACAACATTGACTTGACTTGATGGACGGATAGATTTCCAGATTTGTCAGTAGGGTGCCCATGTAATTTCCAGCATTTATCCTGGGTGTGATTGCGTTTCTTGCAATAATCACAAAAAAAACTTGTTTTTCACGGTTTTGTTGAAATTGGGCCTATTGGACCAATTTGACCCGGTTGACCATGTTTGTGAGGTGGCAGCTTATGGTCCGTTAGATCCATAAAGAAGAGATAAGTGTTGTTGGCCATTGGATTTAAGGATTTGATCTTGGCCCTTCATATTATCATATAAAAAATAAGAATTATGCATATTATTCAAACCAAACTTCTTACCCATAAAACTTTTCTCAGCCGCCAGCATGGTGTTGGGCATTTGCTCACCAACATTGGGCAAATGTTCACCGACAAATGCGACGGCATCCCTGGACAAGTACCATCAACAGCAAGCTTCCGTTGATTCTCTTCTTGGACAGCCAACTGGAAAATTTGGCGAAGCCCCGGCAGTGGAGAGGTGGCCAAGATCTGTGTTCTGAATGGTAAGAAGGATTCATTCGGGCCAATGAGGAATTGGGTCTACCGTTGCTGGTCATAGAGACGCTGATATTGAACAAAAGTCGTCAGCGGCCTATCTAAAGTTTCTTCAGCAGCATCTAATTCATTCCACACGGTGGACAGGTGGTTGAAGTATGCTGTAACAGTGGAGTTTGCTTGGCTGATTTCGGTGAGTTGTTGCCGGAGGGTGAAAACTTTGGCCAAGTCAAGTTTTCCATACATCTCATGGATGTTGCACCACATTTTAGATGCGATCTCTGTGGGTGGCAAACCAGCCGCTACTTCCGAGGACAGACAATTGCCTATCCAAGATCGCACAAGCATGTTACATCTCTTCCAATGACGGCAAATATGCAATTTTGGTGGCAGCGGAACACTGCCATCTAGGAAGCCTTCTTTGTCTTTGCGCTAATGCTTGCTAGAAATTGCGAGACCAAGAACTATAGTTTTCAGATCCTGTTAGCGGGCTGATGAGTACAATTTGGCCCTTCAGAAGTCATCGTGAATAATACATCACCTAGTTCAGGGTGAGAGTGGTGGCCAGAATCATTTGGAAAGTGTAGGATCTCGGGTTGTAACCCGAAATGGTAAATGGCGTGGGTCGGATGTAGTGTTTGGGTCGATGTGGAGTTTTGGTTTGGGTTGATTGTAATGGTTGGACGATTTATTGAATTTGGATCAGTGTGGCCTAAGCCTGGATTTCTTGTGTTAAAAATGGTTCAGTATGGGCTAGCTCTGAAGTGTGTGTGTTGGTTTCCATTTCAGTAGTTTAGTTGATGACTTTCTGGAAATTGGTTATAGTAACCAAGGCTTGTATTTTGAGAGAAATGAAAACTGATAGAGATTTTGTTTGCTTTTGTAGAGACAGAAGAGAATTAAGGAGCGGAAGCTAAGTAGAGAAGCTCTGATACCATGTAAGAAACTGATCAGAGGTAGAGGCAAAGAGTGGCGGGGACGCCAAATTATGCCAAGAGAAAGAGAGAAGAAGAATTTTCTGTATATTTTCAGTATTGTATTCTATCCAATTTATACAAGTCTACAAGTGTAAGAAATGGTAATACAATCAATATAATTACATGAAATCAGGGATAATAATAAAATGTAATCATTTTGTTGGTTTTAAGAGTCGGTGAGCTCTAAGGAAAGATGAGGAGAGAATGAAAAGAGTTAAAACTTTTTTTTTTTCATTACACTGCAACTTGCATTATATACAACAAAGGCATACTGTTTTACCAACTGCAATAACCATTTAGAATTTTAAAATTTAAAAAGCAAAGTTGGCAACTAATACAACCTTAATCTAAGTTGAATTTCACCTAAACATGTCACTAAAAACAACTACTACAGCAGCTTTAATTTTGGCAGACATGGAGGAATGCAGCAGCTGTTTGGCGCCAAAACATATTCAAAACCAAACTAACTCTTAATTGAATTTCCAGCAAATTATCAATGTTTCAACACTCCTCCTTGATAATTTTTCTGGAAACACCAAGTCTGATCCTGAAGACTTCAAACTTGGTTTTGGATAATCCCTTAGTTAGGATGTCAGCCACTTGATCATCACCATTGCAGTGGACCAGTTTTACTTCCCCTTCTTGCTCAGCTTCTCTCACTGCATGGAATTTGATCTTTATATGTTCAGTTCTCCCATGATGGACTGGATT